GGAGGCAATGCTTAACTGCAATGCTTCAGTATAACTCATAGCCACGCTTTGCTAGTATTGCAGTTAAGCATTGCCTCCTTTGATAGTATTGAAGTGAAGCATCTATGGCCCCTTATGCTATTAACATTGGTCGCAGTAGACTCGCTCATGCCCTTTTAACTGCAATCGCCTCATATATATACCTACATATGAAATACTGTACCATGTCATTTTTAAAATGATAATCCGTGTGAAGTAATTGTATTGTATAAATAGCATGTTGTGAGAAACAAATATAATTATGTTATATGCATCACATGCGTTTATAAGAACATGTTAATCCTATGTTCAATTGCACTCGGCTATTTTATTTGAATATTTTGTCAGCCTATTTATTAAGATAATAGTAAATGCAAATCATTAAAAACTATTTGAAGGATTTCTAATACATTGAATGTCAAAACTCGTTGTGAAACTTCTCCATATAAAATACCCATCCATTTCATATTTACGGAGATTTAGATAAATTGTTTACTTTTAATGATAAAGAATACATCATGATTAAAGATAATCAATACAATAGAGTGCTAACAAGTATACACATATTGCCATTACCAAGAATTGCATGTCATAACAAATAGAAATGAGCTGTCACGCTTTTTTATCAAGATTTAAAAAACTTAGGTCTATATAAGTAACAACAAAATTATTAAAATATTGTATATCAAAATATGCTGTAATTTTAATTATCTTACAAATCATTTTGTTTAATAAATTAATTTTAAATGTTTATAAAAGTACAGTTTAATTAAAACAAATCCATGATGATTTTAATTTCAAATACTCGATGATTTAATAATATTAATAATTAGTTTACAATCAAATAAACTAACATGACCTAATATATTGTTCACAGCTTAAGCAATTATGACGCTTCGCATTTTTATAATACATTTCAATACAAAACTAAACATATTTATTAAAAAAAACATATTTGTGTCTCACATTTATATCATTAACTACATCCATGTCAACTTATTTAGTGTAATTATGCTCGATATGTCCCAATAGAATGTGCCAAGTACAAGTAACCATTTTGCCCGTTTTATATCAGAGACTAGGGATTATAAATAGATATGCATACAATGTTTAAGTTCATTTGTTATTATCATGTTTATATTTTGCTTTCATTAAATCAGCAAAATAGTAGATCTGTCATTTAGGTATATTACATAATTGTAAATATAATTGTTATAGGTGTATTGTTAGAGTTGGGTATTGACAAAATTAAATAAAAACAAATACATTATAATTAACCATTTAATACTATTTAGTCTATGTTATTACATAACAAAATTATTCCGGGATATTTGGCTCACAGACTTATTTATATATAATACTATGAATTAAGATAGTAAATTTATTAAATTAATCAAAATATATTGGCATATTAATTTATTAAAATATTAATTATATTGTAATATATAAATATATAATTTAAAATTGACAATATAATCATGTGTAAACACATTTAGACTGCTTATTAAATACAATAATGACAACTGATAAATTTAAAAATAATTAATCATATTAACATTGTTTAAACATCTTTTAAGTATTAGCCGTTGCATTGAGTAATCAGTGTTTTTGTTCTGGGTTAATTTTTACAATAAACAATGTATGGATATAAAATATTTTGTAAATAGAATCTACATTTATTAATGAACAAATTTATTTATTAATATTATTTTAATATCAATTGGTTTAGAGATGATAGATTTTTCAATGTGGTGATTAGTACAGAATTTACATTATAGCTAATATACACTTATATTAAGAATTAACTAATATTATAAGAATCAAATAGGTTAGAATTTATTAAAAATTTATATTATATAATATACACAACAATTTCTAAATTATATATTTATTTTATTTATAAAATTCCTTATCCACTTTAAAAAAATAATTTTAATAATACAGTACATGAACAATTACAAAACTACTAGCGCTGTCTAGAATAAAACATGAAAATATAATCAAGGTTACAAAAGTTTATCTATAATTAAAATTGCCTGTACCTTACCGTCCTTGAGCATCAATATACAGTAAAATGATAAATTCAGTTAATCATGTAGATAATAACAATAAAGGTTTAATTGATAGTTTAGCTGTACATTTATATTGAAAATACATGTTTAAAATCTCTAAAATCGGAAATAAAAACCCTAGTTAAACTTTTTGTACTTTTAGAACAAACCAAACATTATTGTATGTACCATAAACAGTAAACACAAAAAAATAAACTTATACACATTTCCCTGTTTAATACGTTAAAACCCCGATTGCCCTTATTTGTACCAAAAATACAAGTTCAACATAAACATGATTATTTTCAAAACAGAACTTTAGGCACATATTATAAACATGGTATATAAACGCAAATATATTACAAGTGAAATAGTTAACTTTGAATTATATTAAGTGAATTTGTCGCGTTATATAATAATAAGTGTCATTAAATAAAATAGTTGTGAAAATATGTAAATCTAAAACAATTTATTTTACACAATAATTGTTCAAAAATATTAATTGTTACTCAAAATAATGGATTTGCAAACATTTATCGCCGCATTGGCTGTGGTTATTGCTGTAATCGCACTGTAAGTATAATAATATTAAAGTATATTGTACACATTAACCATGATCACTTAAAAAATAATCTTGCTAATGATATAGATTACTGAGACGGCGATTCACCTACTGGTCTCGTCAGGGTGTGCCCGGACCAAAATACATTGAGTACAGAGGCTTTACAAATGTACACCACGAGCACACACTGGAAGCCGTCAATAAATACGGCAAAGTGTACGGCGCCTACTCATTCACGGGCACACATTTAGTATTGAACGAACCCGATCTGCTCCGAGACGTTATGGTGAAAGACTTTCACGTGTTCCCCAATCACAAAATATTTCACCTTGGTAGCTCCAAAATTGACCAGAGTCTGTTTTTCCTACCCGGTGATGATAACTGGCGACGCGTGCGCTCTATACTATCGCCGGTGTTTACATCGGGTAAACTCCGGGCGATGTTGGGACACATCGGCGGCATTTCCGACGGTTTGGTCGAGAATTTATCACAATTTGAGAAAAAAGGTATTTATTTTGAATTTTATATATTGAAAATATATATTTAAAATATAAAATAACATCTAATATATTTGATAATTTATTATCTAGGTGAATCAGTAGATATGCGTAAATACGTGGGCGCGTTTGCAATGGATGTGATCAGTGCCTGCGCTTATGGCATAGATGTCAAGTCTATTGATAATCCCAACCATCCGGTGGTCACAAACGCGTCAAAGATATTGAACGCCGACGCGGGTATAGGCATTGCATTGTCTGTATTGGCTCCGAGTATTGCCAGATTTTTTAAGCTGGAGCCTTTTGATATAAAAGCAGCTGGCTATTTTGATCAACTAACCAAGCAGATATTAAGCGAGAGAAAGAGCAACAACAAATATGTTAACACTGATAAATGTAAGAAATGTTTTAATAATGTAAACATTTTATTTTTATTTAATTATTTTTTTTATATCTATAGCCAAACGGCGCACGGATTTTATACAATTAATGATAGACTCGGAAAAGTCAGACAAAGAGTTGGGTTATTATTCCGGTAGCGAACCGGAAGTGGACGACGAGTCCATTGGTGGGCAGTTGCCTAAGAAAGTTGTGGGAACCCTAACACCGGATGAGATGGTAGCGCAGGGTTTGCTGTTTTTCATCGCCGGTTACGACACGACATCCGCCGCCATAACACACGCCTTATACTACTTGTCTGAACACAAAGACTGTCAGCAAAAACTATACGAAGAGTTGCGAACTTGCGATGAGTTTACGTACGAAAAGTTATCGCAATTGAAATACTTAAACGCAGTTCTCAGTGAAACACTACGTCTCGCGCCTTCACTAACACGTGTTCAACGAGAATGCCTTCAGGACTATAAACTCGGAAATACCGGTACTTTTAAATTTTAATATAATATACATTAAACGTGTCAATTGAAACATTTTTCTACTATTGCCACAATAGGTATTACAGTCCCAAAAGGGGCAACGGTTGAAATCTTGCCGTACGCTTTGCACAGACAGGCAGACCTGTGGCCCAACCCTAACGACTTCATACCCGACCGTTTCCTAAACCCAGTACACCATCCGTACGCTTACATACCCTTTGGTGGCGGACCCAGACTTTGTATTG